TATTGTCCTACCTTTTTTCGTTATCTTTAACAGAGTATCGACTTTTTCTATTGTTAACGCGAACCTCTGTGCTGAAAAGTACGCAAACTGTTAATTCAGACGACGGTGTTAGCAAATGAGGAAAGTGAGGTTTCGGAAACCCTATAGCATAGGGCTGAATTGTTCACACGCTCATCTGCGTCTGCCCTCAACTAATTATCCAGGATACTTTAAGTCTGTAGCAGCTTAGTCATACTGAGCGCTGTCGGGATTGTTAGTAGGTTTTTGGACAAGTTCAGTTATCACGCGAGACTAAAATTGGAGTCGCATCTGCACGGGACACGCCTTTGATGAAAGCCTTACTTCATGTTAGTCAGTGCCATCTTCCGGTAGATTAATTCAAGCACTGTCTGCTTTATGACAGCAGGGGTATGGCTGGTTTAGCCCGGATCTGACACGTTCATTATCGGGGCCTGGAAGATGGCCAACGACTTCTCGATAAAATACCTCGGTTCTACAAAATGCATGAGAGGCATAGCGCGTGTGTAACATTTAATGGTATGCATTTGTCCAAAGAGTTACCTCGATTCTTACTTTAGGATATTTTAAAATGGAGACTTAAATACAGAAACATCTTCTAAATTTTCGAAGCACTTCGGTTGGGGTTTCCAGACTCCTAAAAATTAGTGTATTACTTTGTTTCCCCCGTTACAAAAGGTTCTTTAATGGCTTCAGTACTTGAAAGATCTCTATCTTGGAACTTTTTAAACACCATTTCTGCGATCGCGTCGTGAATTCTGATTTCAGACGCAGAAACGAGTGTCTGGGCTATTAACATGAAAAATAAGACTCCAGAATTATATAATATAGGACCGGTAATAGTGAAAATATATTTTCCACTTTTTTTTACTTTAATTATGTTAGTGTATTATTGGTATTTTAAATTATATTTTACATCATTGCGTGCTTTTTCACTGTTGCATGTTATATTTTTATAATATTTTCATCTACTTTTCCCGTTTTGTTTGCCGTTTTGCTTTTGCTTTCCCTTCTACATCCCGTAATGCCTAAACCGTCTAACCCCCATTGCAAACGGCCCCTTATTACAGAAATCTGGAGTTTTTTTTCCACAGTGACATCTATAATATAATGGTACCGTCAATACTTACCTAGATCATACTACTGACTGATGGTAGCTTGTGAATATTATAGGATTATTCCGCAGTAGCTGATGGACTTAGGCCCAAATATTTAGGCCAGAATTCAGCCTGCGTCTCTATACCCTTGACTATACTGGTCTTCTTCGAGTTGGGAATTAAGTTCTAAAGAAATTAAAAAGCTAAAAAGGGGTGGTTGGTTAGTGAACAAAAAGTCTGAAATCATCCTTAGCATCTCCTCTAGAAAACTTCCCATGAGTGTCACTCACACATTTTGTGGTTTAAAGAGGTGTTACGAGGTTTGCTGGCCGGAATATGAGCCGCTGTTGGTGCGAGCTACCATTGTCGGTAAAGCATTTAACGACTGTAATCATAAACACTAAGATTGTTCCATATAGTGGAAGCGGTTTATTCAATAGACAAGCTCAGTTACCGTGTCTGGAAGTGTACGAACATTGGCGTCTTGTTTACGTGCTTGGGTCTGTTTTATGTAGGATTGCTTGTCTGGCTGTGGGTCGCGTGATAATTTGCGTTAAGGACCGTGTTTGAGGCGTCTGATAACAGGTCAAAGAAATGTTTTCGTCCATAATCAAATCGAAAACAAGATCTCCTTCAGACTGTATGTACTTCTGAGTTTCGTTTATCTGGAACAAAAAAGGAGGTGGGCAGACAGACTTGATGGATGCCAGACCAAATGACTGATAATTAAAAACAGCAATTATCCACCATTCATCCCCCTAATGTTGGCTCAGTCGGTAGCAACTATTCTGCTGATAGTTTACTACAGGGGTTAAGTCAAAAACAAGTGGGCTTTCAGATTCGAGACACTACGTAGTTTCAGTAATTCGGGGCAAAACAGGAAGTAGGCACACGTATAAACAATAAAATTGTTATTGCACTTAATGCAAACCCGTGGTCTTGTCTCAAGGCGCAGTCCTCAGTTTTGCATAAATGGGATAAAGTTGCTGCTTATACATCGCTAATGCACACTCAAGCAGTCTTCAGCGAAAATTAGTTGTGAAACGTGTAGGCTTTTATCAGTGGTAATAAAACAGTCATTGACGGATGCTGTTTGGCTGCCTTTTAGACCCCGCAGAATCTAAGGATCAAAGCCGCATTCATCCTCAAACAGCGTATGCCTAGCTCAGCGCACCTATACATTTCCCCAAAAGACGGCCACGAAAACACTTTGCAGGATGCGGTTAAAATTTTTCGGGGTTTTCGTTCTGTTCTGGACGCTCATGGAAAGAGGCTTCAACACTGGCTTATTTGATGGGGGGTTTTGGAAAATATAAATAATTCATTCGATCATGCTGTAAAAACAGTGCATCTCCAACCCATTAGAGGATGGGGAATAGTTTTGTATAGCCAAAACAATAAATATCTGAGTCACGAGACCTCACCGGGAACAGTGATTTTAATCACACTTGGGTCAATTTGTCTGTCGAGCTTGCTGCAACGAACCGAATACCCCAATTCCGATTACATTGTTCTGGCCGCCCAAGCAGGACTTCCTAAACAG